ACTCTTTGTTCCACTTGCATTCCGAGACAACACTCAGCTGAAGATTCTTGTCGAAGGTTTTCTCGACGCCAGTAAAATCCTCGTCTAAGTGTGAAAGGACAAGACCATTTTGTAGCACTGCACTTGATGACCACATTTCATCTTGCGTGTTCAACTTCTTCTCTCGGATTGTCCCGAAAGAGCGAAGTTGCTTTGATTCGTCGTACGAAACAATCACACTGCATCGAAAATCCCCTCGACACAGGAAGATCTCGGCAGCAAGCGGCTTTACAACAACATCTTTTATTCTTGTCCAGACACCTCCGCCGTTGGAATGAAGTACAGCTCTTGCTTCTGGAATAGCTGAATGGCAAAATCCACTTTCATCAGTATCTTTCTTGAAAATTTCCCAAGGTCCTTCGTGTCCCGGGCGCGACAGTTTTTCCGTGCCGTCTTCTGTTTCAAACAGATTTTGATGCTTGATTACGGTCTTCGCTTCGTCGAGGGCTATAAACGATCGAACACCACGAAACTTGTATCTAACCTGGCGTGTGTCCGCTTTCCAGAATGTCCACAAACCGGACCATTGGTAAAGAATGTTGGAACAGAAGGTAGCCCACTGAATGTCCGCAATACTGGCCATCACGATCGATCACTGAATTACAGCATAAAGAACCTCAAACACGAATAGGCTAACTACAATAAAGATATCACTGTCACGTAACGTAGAAAGCCGATAATAAGCACCCCTCCCCTCCAAGCGGTACACGTACTTAGTTGTATTAGTTACAGGAGCGAATGAGGCTAAAACTTAGACCCAAAAAAGTTTTAGAGGGGTCTCAAACCTTAAAAATAATTTTCTGTCGGACAGTTTTGGTACCACTTAAAGAACTTCGCACTCTGACTTCAAAAATGATCTTCTCCAAGTCACATACCACAACAGTTAACGAATGAGGTGTTAATTATATATAAACACGATAACGTACTAATCAATGGTTCGAGACAAAAAATCTCCGAAAACAGTGTCCTTGTGAAAATGGGAAAGAGTTTATT